AGGCTTCCTTAGGGGTTAAGCACAACCCCCTCACCCATTTTACAGAAGGGGGGGCAATGAGGCCCAGAGAGGGGAAGAAGACTGAGCCAATTCCCTTGGACTGGGACCTGAGTTGGGGACCAGGCTCTGCCTCCTATGACCTCTGGAATGGGCCTGAGCTCACAGAGCAATGGTCGTGGTGGACAGAGGGTCCTCTGAGCCCCTGGGGCTCCTCTTCTCTCTGTGGAGGTAAGGATGGTTTTGGTAAGAACTCTAAACATGGGAGCCAAGCACGTGGCAAGGAAGAGGATATCCGGGCTCTGCTGCTCACACACTCTGACCTTGGGCAAGTGGTTTCACTTCTCTGAGCCTCTCTGAGCTTCTCTGAGCCTGGCTTCCTCTATAAAACAAACAAGGCTGCTCCTACCCACCTCCCAGCACCCCAGGCAGGATGAAACCCAGTGGCATACCTGGCCACTGCAGGGGCTCAATTAAAGCAAGCTGTAATTATTCTTTTTATTGTTACTCCCACAGCCCGAGCCCGGGGCTCTATGCCTGCCACTTCCTGCCAGAAGTGAGGAACCTGAACCAGGAGGGGCTTTCTCTTCTGTGCAGCCTCCATCCTGGGCATCTCTGGCTGCCTGCCCAGTCCCAGGGCTCCTGAGAACTTGGATCCTGGGACTTGGGGAGCAACGGGCCCTCCCAATGGCTACTGCTTCCCAGAATTCTCGCCTAACCTCAGCAGCCACCACCAGACTTGTTGCTCCTCCCAAGCCCCATTTTAGGGGTGGCCCTGCCTTCCACCCCATCCCCCAGCTGGAGAAATGGCCTTATCCTGAACACTTCCCAACCCCTTGACCCCTAAAGCCCTGTAGTCACTTCGTTCTGTCATGTCAGACTTCTGAACATCTCTCAAATCCATTTGCTCTCTTCCAACCCCACAGCCCCGCCTGCCCTGGTCTGGCCTCTGTCCTCTCCTGTCCAGGTTCCGCCCCAGCCTCCACCCTGGTCTCTCAGTCTTCAGGCCTGCTGCTCTAGAGAAGTTTTTCCAAACCCCAAACATGGCCCTGTCCTTTCCCAACAAGGAAGCACCCATGGCTCCCTAGGGTCCTGAGAGATCTGCTCCTTGCAGCCTCACCATAAACTCCTCCTGCCACATGTACCTCAGCCACACTTGCCTCCTTTCCTCAGTGCCAGGCTCTGCTCACCTTTGGGCCTCTGCCACCCTGTTCTCTCTGCCTGGAGCACCCTCCCCCCCTTCAGGTGGCCACTCTCACTTCCTCTCGGAAACACTTCTTGAGTCAGTTTCCGTCGTGGGTCGGCGGTGCCACCACCTCTCACCTGTCCACCATCCTAATCTCCTTCCTGATCTCCAGTCTTGCCCTGGTGTTCAGTCTCCACACGGCAGCCAGGAAATCTTTTGCAAACAGTAATCAGACCATGTCGTTCCTCTCTTAAAAACTTCCATGGCCTCTCTGCCACCCTCAGAATGACATCCATTTCCCCAACCTGGCCTCATCTCTTACCAGTCCTACCTCCCTCTCATGGTTCCTGCTTAATTAAACTTCCCCACACTTTGAATATTTCTGCTCCCACTGGAGATCAATTTTCCACTAAGACTCTAGATACCCCCAACCCCACCTTCTCCAGGGCTTTGCTGCTGCAAGTCTCCCATCTCTCCTGTAGAATCCATTCTCCATTTCTATTGGACCATAGTGTACTGTTCCATCCTTTTAAAAAAAGCAGCCTCCCCTGGCCCCACAAATTCCCCTTTTACCACCCTCCCCCGTTTCTCCACTCCCCTTTAGAACCAATATACCCAAAACACTTGTCAATATTTGCTGTCTCCACTTCCTCACTTCCCATTCATTCTTCAGTGCCTCAGAGCTGGCTACCACCCTCATCATTCCCTAGCCCTGCTCTTGTCAACATCACTGACCATCAACACCTATGGAGCTAAATCCAATGGTCAATGCTTCATGCTCACCTTGGCTGCATGTGACCCAGGACAATGGCTCCTACTTCTAGAAGCACTCTCTTCTCTTAGCTTTCCTGACACCTTCCCTGGCTTTCCTTCCGCCTCACTAACCATTCCTCCTTAGCCTACCCCTCTTCCACTCTAAATATTAGAGTTCCTCAGGATTCTATCCTCAGCCCCTTCTCTAGATCCTCTTCCTAAGATGACCTCA